CACACACACACACACACAATGAGCTTGCCTCCCATACACATAACACCCACCCACGCCCCCAGGTTTGCGTCCTCCTCCCCGCGCCGCCCTGAGGGAGAATACGAAGAGCTGCTCCCCTGGCTCCTGGACCAAGCCGCGGACTTCGAGGCCGCCGCCGCCGCCGGCGCCCCCGCCGCGCCGCCGCTGCTGCTCGAGTCGCCCCCGCGCTACCGGCTGTTCGACGCGTCGCGCGGCGGGTGCGCGGGGTGCGCGCGCGCGCTGCTGCGGGCGGCCAAGACGCAAAGCGTGAACCGGGACCTGCAGGCGGCGGCCAGGTGGGGGCGTGTGCATGGGGGCGTTGGATTGTATTGTATTGCATTGTGGTGGACAACATTGTTTTGATAGTATAAGTTTGTAGTATTGCATTCATATGGTATTGGCTTGGGATTTGATCATCGTTCCATGAAGTTGCATAGCGTTGCTGGGCACTGGGGGGGCTGCTGGTCGGGCACATGGTTGAGCGTTTGGAGCGGCCCGAAACCTCTGGGAACAGTCCAAATTTTTCGGGTGTGGGAAGTGAAGGGTGTGGGAAGTGAAGGGTGTGGGAAGTGAAGGGTGTGGGAAGTGAAGGGTGTGGGAAGTGAAGGGTGTGGGAAGTGAAGGGTGTGGGAAGTGAAGGCACCTTTTTTGGGGCCTGGGGTGGCGTCGGCCCCGTGATCCACTGGAGGTATCCCACCGGCCGGCCCCTCCCACAGGCGCGCGGCTCACCACACCCAACCCAGGGGCCTGCTTTCTTTGCATTTTTTTGGGAATCCCTCCGCAACTCCCCCAGCGCCGGCCCTCGGCTCGGTTTGACGCGCGCCACTATTAAACTCTCCCTTGCCCTCCCCCCACCCACTTCGCCCGTGTGGCGCAACCAATAATTCACTGCCACGCAACCATTCACTCATTCGCTGCCCGCGTGACCATCCTGCGCCCGCAGCGAGTGCATCCACGCGGTGCTGCCAGTGGCGTCCCTGCCGGAGGAGGAGGCGGGCGCGGCCGGGCCGGCGGCGGACGTGGGGGACCTCCCGCGCGCGGGTGGGTGGCCCGTGATGGTGGCCCCACCAGCGGCGCCAGACGGGTGTCGCGGGGTTGCGAGGGACTGGGCAGGGCAGTGGGGAATAGCAGCCCTGGCTAAGGCTGCTCAGGCAACACAACCCTCAGACGCCTCCCACCCGCGCTCCACCCGGCCCCGGGCCCTCTCGCCTGGCCCCCGCAGCGGCTGTTGTCTCAAAATTTGTGCTGCCCCGCGCTCGCCGCTGCCGCCCCCCGCCCGCAGGCCACTGGCAGGACCTGCGCTACAGGGGGGACTGGATGCTGCGGCCAATTGCCTCCAACGAGGTCGGCTGGCTGGCGCGGCTGCTGGTGTCCATCTCCCGCTCCATCAACAGCGCCTGCGCCCTCGACGGCGTACCGCTGCGCGCCCCCGCACCCGCACCCGCACCCGCACCCGGCGCGGCGCCTGCCGGCGGCGCGCGGCGGGCGGGGGCGGCGCCGGGGGGGCAGGAGCAGCCGGAGACGCTGCTGCAGGAGTGGCTGCTTGTCGCGCGGCGCCGCGGGTGGCGCGTCAACCTGCGGCCGCTGGCCGAAAAGCAGACGCTCGCGTGGCTGCTGGCGGCGGCGCTGCTGCTTTACTGGACTGTTCTGTGGCTGGCCTCGCCCCCCCGGGAAGGCGGCGGCTGGGGGGACGCGGCGGCGGAGGCCCCGGCGGGTGGGCAGCAGCAGCAGCAGCAGTGGCAGCGGCAGTGGGAGCAGCACCAGCAGGAGCGGCAGCAGTGGCAGCAGCAGTACGAGCAGCAGCAGCAGCAGCAGTATCAGCAGCAACGGCAGCAGCCCCCCCAGCCGCGCGTCCAACAGTGGCAGGACGTGCCAGGCGGCGGCCCGGCCGACCTGGGGGCCTGGTGATGTGGTCATTGCATCGCGCTTAATCCACAAGATTAGTATCAAACCATGCGGCCAGCCACAGAGTGCTAGGATCTGGCAGATACAATTATCTGGGGGACAATCACCGGTCAGGGCTGCGGCCGCGAGAGACCCCACAAAGTCGCCATCATCCAAGGCAGCGGTCTGGGGCCTGCGCAGGCACAGGCGCCATGCCTTGCGGTCGCAGGCCAAGCCGCAACAGCCGCCGCGAAGCGTACGCGCGGCCGTCGTGGAGCGCGCGCGTGGGGCGCATCCCGTCGCTGCTGCGCAAGCGGGTTGTCTGTGTGGCAGCGGCGACGGCCTGCCCACCTGTAACCCAGCCAACCCCTTCTCTTATGAAGCCATAATGTCGGTTGAGAGCCAGCTGGCAAGTGCCTGGGTCGGGGGCGAGCGCGGTGAGGGCGCTGCAGCACCGCTGCGCTTGGCGGAACCGGGCTGTGGCGGACCTGCTGCCATCCTGATCGGGCCCGGCCTTGGTAGGGCTGATGGCCAGGGGCGCTCCTGTCGGTGCCTTGTGCAGTGCCCTCTTTGGGGCGGGGGCTGCTGCTGTCAGGCTGACGAGGAGCACGTCAGCAAGCGAACGTGAACCAGGATCGCGCCAGCCCTGCCTCTTCCCTTCACATGGCCCACATTGCATGTAAGCCAGGTGGTGCAAGTGTGCGGGTGTGATGAAGGGGCTCAGCACCAGCTAGGGATGTCACTGGGCGGCGGGTGACACTATGAGGACCTCCCAAAAATACGTCTTGCTTGCGCAGCGTGACCTACATCTTTCGCTTTTGCCAGTTAGGTCGGGGCGCACGGTTTGGGTTGCTTCATCGCATCTCGTTACTTCAAGTGATGTCACCAGGACTGCCTGGGTGATGGACACCTCACCCTCACCACTGTGTACAAGTCAGATTTGATTGACGAGGCCTTGATGAAACTGCGAGAAAGGTGTCGTGTACGGTATCTGTGGCATGGCGAGGCATTGATCAGCCGATCTAGGCGAGAGAGCACAGAGTCTCTCGGATGCCTTCTTGATGTGCAATTTATTACGAAGTGACCAAGTTTCCTTGTGGCTTGCTCCTTGAGATACGGTTCCACCTCCCCTCGGCCGCACGCTTTTTCGTCAGCATACCGTATTGCGATACCTCGTGCTGATGGAGCTGTCCTGCGCACCATGGGTGGGACTGAAAGGCGCCAGCGACGACTCACGCCCCGCTTCTTTGACCAGTGCTGGGCTGGAGGATGACTGCCGTGAGCAGCCACCGTGCAGCAAGCGGCGGCGCCTGGGTCTGATGCCTCAGCCAGGCGCGAGTGCAGCTAGCTGCGGCTGCAATATGCTGACAAGCGATGCAGCAAACATCACACCGCTGCAGGTAATCCGACAGCCTGCAGCACGCCAGGCACCGCCGCGGCTCCCACGGCGCGCGCCGCCAACAGCAGGTCTTGCCGACGCCGCCGCGCTCGCTGCAAACGAGCACCCAGCGCCGCGCCATGGCGGCGGCCGCGCCGCTGCCGACGATACACCAGGCATGCAAATCGACGCTGCCGCGGACAGCGGCAGCGGCGGCGGTGGCGCTTTTTACGGACCAGATGGTGCAGCAGGGCAGGCTGGCGATGACGATTTCGGTGATTTCTACATGGTCAAGGGCCCGGCTGCGGACGCCGTTGCTGCGGTGGCCCGCGCTGCAGCCGCGGGGTGCTGCCCTGCCGGGCCCAGCGCCCGGCAGAGCGACGCCGGCAGGCGACAAGCCATCTGTTCAGCCGGCGGAGCGGGCCGAAGGGGAGCATCTTGGCGAAGGGGCGGCCGCTGCACGCCTCATCTATGAGGCGTGGCGCGAGCAGTCAGCCACAGACGACGGCGCCATGAGCGGCTGCAAGTCCTCACCGGGGGTGACGGCAGCCGCGCAAGATACAGTGCCGGCAGAGGGCGAGGGCGACCAAGCATGCGGCACTGAGGCCGCGCAGCCACGCAATGGCGAGAGCAGCAGCTGTGAAAATGAGGGTGGCGGCAGCGGCGGCGGCGGCGGCAACGAGGGCATCATTTGGCGGACGGTGAGGGGGTTGCGTGGTTGAGGGTACACATCAGGGGAGACAGCAGCGTGAGCACTGCCTTGCTGACATCCTTGACCCACGTTTGAGATCTGCTGCACATACTAGCCACCCCCTGAAGTCTGGAACACACCCAAATCCCCCTGCCCCTCAACTTTGCATAGCCAACCTCACGACTTCACGACGCCTTGCTACTTCACAAACCAGAGGACCACGTTTTCATACGTTTGTTTTAACCTTTGTTGCTAAACCCTTGTCCGCACCGCCCACGCAAGGACCGCTTGTTGGCGCTGCGCACGGATGCGGGGGCGATGGGCACAGTCAAGCTTGGGCCAGCTGCCCGCCAAGCCCTGTTCCCAGGCGCCCCGGCCGGCGCACCGCTGCCCATCAGCCTGCAGATGGTCGTGGACGGCCGCCCTTGGCTGCCGCGGCGCGTCCCCAGCAACGTCGACGCATGGAACCGTGTGAGCCAACACATGGCAGCATTCAAGGGTCTGGCAGGCTGCCGCGTCATCGGGTTTCGCCGCGCAGAGGGGGAGCGATCGCTGGACTTGATTGTCACGCGTGGCGGGCAGCAGCAGCAGCAGCAGCAGCAGCAGCAGCAGGAGGAGGAGGAGGAGGAGGGTGCTGAGGGGGACAGTGGGAAGGGTCAGCGCCTGAGTGGTTCAGAAGGGTTGTCAGCGGACGCGCGAATAGACTCTGGTAGCGTGTCAGAGGGGGAGGAACAGGAGGAGGAGGAGGAGGAGGAGGAGGAG